GGAATCAAAGAATATGTGGTAATTAATATGAAAGATTTTATTTAAAAAATATAAAGTATATATGAGAACATCTTACTTTCTTTTCAATGACTACTAGATTTTTTGACATGCATTAAACACGAGATTAGAATATTCAAAAATAAAAATTCATTTTTTAAATATAAAAACATATTTTTTTGTTTGTTACACTGAAAAATTTATTTGATTTATCGCACACTCTATAATTTACACAAATAATAAAAATTAATTTTACACTTCAAATAAATTGAAATAAATAACATTTGCATTAGTTTTAATATTTTTATGCAAAATTGATCAAAGAATATGATATTAAAATATGTTTGGTTAAAATTTAATTTTATTACATTTATGCACAATACATATCATTTTGTACGTTTATAAATATTATAATACACGTCTAAATATTAAGATCGATGAAAAAATATATTTAAGTATTTAATTTCACGCTTGGCGTGAGTCAAAATCTAGTTAAATTATACTTTTAAACAAAAGTTTGAGAAGAGTGAGTTCAACAACTTACATTTTCCATTTTTCCTAAAGAAATTTAACATTTACAGACAATTTCCTTCAAACTAAAAATTAAGCTGTTTGGAAGAAAAAGACCAAAAAAAAAAAAGTTTTACAGAAGTATGTGTTTCCTTTCAAATCAAGAGACCAAACCATTAAACATATGTACATCTTCAACTAACAAAAAGAAAATGAGGAAGCATTTTGTTCAGATCCTCATAGCCAATAACAGTACTCCACGTGTTAGTTGACTTTCGAAATTTTAAATCACGAACCGTTCCTTAGTTCTCGAGCAAGATCGAACGACTGAGATTGTCTGTTACCTCTCAACCTAAATAGTCCATACAGCTTCTTAAACTCCCTCACCGCCGGCGAACTTCCTCCGCCGCGTAAAGGCCCACTCATCCCTACGTCGTAATCTTCCGACGACGATCTTTCGTGAAAAACCCTTCTTCCGATCGCCGGAGTTCCTCTCCGATCTCCGTCGGTTTGCAAAGCGTTGATCACAGATTTAAGAGCTCTGCTCGGCGAGTTTCTGTTAGCGATCATCAATTCTCCGATCTCGGCGGGACTTAACGACGCACCGTTTTGGAATATTCCTTCCACTTGAGGGAAGAGTTTATGCTCTTTTAAACCCAAGTAGCTATTCGCTAACGCCTTAAACGCCGTGAAATCGCACAACGGAAAATGTATGTGAACGTCGACACGACCCGGTCGGATCACCGCCGGGTCGATCTGTTCCTTCGCCGTCATCGTAAACACCATGATCCTTTCGTCTGCGGCGCAAGAACTGAGAATCCCGTCCGTGAAATTCAAAATACCTGAAATAACCAAGGGTGTGATAGACTAGTGGTTAGCATACATACGAGATAGACTAAAGGCGGACTCCAGACCCACGGAATATTTTATGTCAATAAAAAGATACCTGAAATGGTTAGAGAATTGGTTGATTTCGACGAGAGAAACCGATCTAGATCCTCGATCACGATCACAGACCGACTCGTGGTTTGTAAAAGAATCATCTTTAAATCCGAATCGTCTAGTACTTTCGATAGATCTATATCGTAAACATCGTAGTTTAAGAAATTAGCCATAGCTGCTACGAAGCTTGATTTTCCGGTACCGGAAGGTCCATAAAGAAGGTAACTCCGTTTCCAAACTCGTCCTAGTCGATTATAAAATTGTTTACCTTTAAGAAACGATTCAAGATCCGATTTCACTTTCTCTTTCAAATCTTCTTCCATTAAAATGTTATCGAAGGTACAAGGATGAGTAAACGAAATCGATCTCCATCTCCCTTTCTTTTTCTTTGTATCGATGTTCATGAATAGCTTTAGCTCTGTTTTCCTCTGTTCAAGCTCTTCGTTGACTGTATGTATATGTTGAAGGTAAGGACCAAGTATTCTCCGTTTATCCGATTTTCGAATCTTTAAAACGAAATTCCTCGAGTTATCGTCTTCTTGATCTTCTCCGTTGATCCAACAAACCCTAGCGCCGAGAAACTCGTCTCCGATCACTTGATTCCGATCGAGACGGAGGATGATTTCGTTTGGTTTATTTCCGGTGAAGAGATTCGTGAAATCGGAGTTTTCGATCGAGCTCAAGGAATTCAAATATGCGTGAACTCTACGGTACAGTTGATTCTCTTGCAAGTTATCGTTGAACTCAGGGATTTTGTAGAATTGGTAAACGTGAAACTGATCGGATACCTTCTTCTTCCATTTCTTCACCATGTAAATCAAACCAGTTTTGAATAAAACAACTCTTACCAAGAACAGTACTATACCTAAAACAAGAAACAAGAGAATTGAATCCATGAGTATCCCCATGGAAAAGAAACCCTAGAATCTAAACGAAGAGAGATTCGGATTTGGTGGAGATGTATATAATCAGAGACATCTTTTAAGGAGAAGAGAATCGTGAAAGAGACTCAATAGTTTTGAAGAAGAAACGATGATATAAAAATTCATTATGTCTTCTTGTT